TCGAAGTTTTTTATAGAGTCGCCTCTGGCAGCTGCAGGGGGATGCTGATTAAGTAACGATGCGATTAGGCACTGAATGACTAAATGGCTTGATAGCATTGAAGCTGGAACGCAGTCGCGAGGCGGTAAGAGCTAAAACTTTAACTTTTTGGATGGCTTTATTCTAGATCGATGACCTTGCAAATAAAATGGCCAGCGCATTTTATTATTCCCTAATGCAGTCCCCGGCCATGGCACTGCTCAGAATTCAGCGAAACTTTTGATACAGTAACTTCTCGGTTACATGCCAGTTTGATGAATGAAGTGATAGACTCGATTGTGTTATTTTTCTACTCATCAGATTTTCATTATGGATGTTACAGGAGTTTGGCGATAAGGAACGCAAGGAGACTTCGACCATACAATGCTTTGCTCGCTTTTTTAACTAGGTTTTGGTTTTGCAGGAGTCAAGTTCTCTGTCTCTGCACTTCTCGAGGACCTTGCGTGGAGCGCATTCTCCTAAATGGATTAGCAGTAAAAATGCACATACCAGGGGCTGTAAAGATTTGACGGCTATTGATATTATTACAGAGAGTACCCGTCTTTCTTCGCTTGATCTGTCCAGAGATTTTCTCCTCCCAGGTACAGTCTACTCACTTAAACAGGGAAGATATCGTAATGTTAGAAGCAGCGAAAGTTACGGCTTGATCAACACCCTACTGACATGGCTAAAATGGACTAGAAGGTCTCCAAAATCTCCATCTTGTGAAAAAGTAGCTACCCTTGAAGAGGTACTCTTTGAGGTTCTCGTCTTGCCGATAATCACCACAATTTAGTAGAAGGGAGGCTGAATGCCTTTCCATAGCATAGAATGTGTTACTCTTGAAAATTGGCTGCCAAAGTGTTGTTGCTGAAGCACCCTGAAGACGCTCTAGCGATCTCATTTTCCTTACTACGTATCTTGAAGGCGAAAGGAGGGAATAAAATGTAAATCTGATACCCTTGCCGTAGACAAGGATCATGCGCTGACTCACCACTAACATTTTACTCTTCCACAATTATGTTTATGTCAATAGAGATGTATCAGGAAAATCAGAATTATAACACTTGCTTTGGCCGCCGTTGTTCTCATCTCAATTAGAGTTTTACTATTCAGATATGCGCTATGTTTGCAAGAAAACTCGTTTTAGATTAAAGTAATAACATCCAACGGATTGTTGAACCAATTTTGAGGGAACTGAAGAAGTAGAGCGTACGCAGCTGCCTTGAGAATGACTACAAGAGACTCATGGTAGTCGTACTTTCGTGCATTTGTATTTCGTGTCGGATCTTCACGCCAATCAGGATGCAAGTCGGCACACAGAAATTCGCGATATTTCAAATAATGGCACTTCATTATAAAATCGGTTATAAGCTCTGATTGTTGATATAAGATTTGCTCAACTTTAGCGATTAAAATAGGGTTTTACAAGACTGAATAGTTTTTGAGAGAATTTTGTCAATGGTAAACACAAAATTTCAAATGTTCCCAAATGCAATGTACCTGAAATTTTGCTGATTTCTGATTTGTTACTTCCTGCCGAGATCCAATTGGTTCGAGGTGCTTTGTGTTGTTGACTACGCGCAACACTTGAGTGGGGTCAGCATTGCGGCTTGGGCTTCATCAATGTCAAAATACGAGGGCTCAGTGCAGGAATTAGATCCTCACAGGCTAGGCCAGATAGAGAAGCAATCAAGGTACTCTAAAACCACACACGTTATCCTCTTCTATGCTGCCTGGTGCGGCCACTGCGAAGATCTGATGTCCACTTTCAACGAGGCCGCCAAAGTTCTTTCTGCCAAATATTCTGATATCGCTTTTGGCAAAATTGATGCCAGCAAGTACAAACAGGAGTTAGTGCACCACGATATTAAGGGGTACCCCACACTGATGACCCTTGTGGATGGAAACTACAAAAAGTTCTCAGGAAAGCGGACTTTAGAGAATATAAGTGACTTTGTGGGTAATAGCATGTCCAAGTAGTACTTCGATCGCCTATCGATTTGTCAACTTCAATACAAAGTATACTTACTACTTTCAGTTCAAAGTAATGAAATGTCTTAACCTGCACTTCTTAGACGGCATAAACGAATTTGAGATTTTAACTCTAATTTTTAGGGTTTAGCTGCAATAGCGTTTGGTAACTAAACTAGTAAAATATCGCGCTTTTATCTAATCTAACCGTTATCTCTAGTGCGGATTGTGTAATTCCACACCATGTAAACAGCGCAACTGTCTGGTGACCGCAACAGAATTTACTTTAATCCTCAGTGCTTAAAAAATCCTGTTTAGATTCGTAAGTCTGTCGACCTGCACTTGCTGTTAATAGTAGTATCTCCACGGCATATTATCGATTTCTCACCTATATGTGATTCAGTGCAGGCATGGTAGCTAAATCGATTAACAGGGTTCGCAAAGTCGGCTTCCTCTAGTGTACTAGTCTTATCAAAATTTGAGGGCCGGAGAGTTCCCTTCTTTTGCTGATAGGGGCTAGTCTCTTGGGAAGGGAACAATGTCACTGAATGCAGCCACTGGAAGGGACACACTTTGCATGATACTCCACCATGGTGTTAGTGTGGGTGGAGCATACGAAAAATGCTAACTTTTTGTGTTGGAATTTTGATTCGCTATCGGGTAAACCTCACTGCGTCCAATATTTTTGTAGTGTGCCATTGGTTCAAGGATTGAAATTGGACTTTAAATAGCACCACTTTTGTACCAACGAAAAAGAACGAAGAAATTCGCATACTGGGAGCCATAAATGAGGAAAATGTATTGCATCAAGTAGTGGTATATAAGAAGAATCTAGTTTGTCTTTGATCGGGTGGAAAACTCAGTTGTGCCTATGTGAAAACCGGAGGGGTTTCTACTATCAAAACTGAAAAAAATATTGTTGACGTACAGAAGGAC